ATAATAATAATAATAATAATAATAATAATAATAATAATAATAATAATATGTTCGATGATGAGTCTTTGTTTTTCTCTACCCGAGAAGTGTCTTTACCTTTAGACTTGTGCTCTAGACAGCTATCCTATCCTCTAAAGAAGGCACTAAAGAAATTTCCTTCATTTTATAGTAGGGTACTCTGGTCATCACGCACGCAGTCGGAATATTGATGTCATATTTTCCCATCCATCATTTTACTGACCGGATGTGAGTGACAGGTCAGGATTACGTCTAGGGATTGACCCTCATAAGGCTTTATGATACATTTGTATTAGTAATTTTGTTTTTTATTAGTAACGCTAATGATGTAGAGAAGCCCTATACAGCTGCAGTGATCGTTGCGTTTTATAGACAAATAGATCTTCCTGCGTGGACACTATATTGACGGACGCAACAAGATTTCTATTTTAAGGGGAGGTCAAAGTAAGGATGGTACATGGACGCTCAATTAGTCTTTGGGGGTACACGTTTTTTTCGACCCCTTCATTGCTGAGATTCTTTCATCAATGTTCGCAAACGCAACATAAAATAATGTCCGTTGAACAGAGCTATAAATAAAACCATAATTATGTTATTATATATTTTAAAAGAGTAAGCAATTGCTCAAGCTGTACACGCGTCACCTTAAACTTCGTCTATGAACCTTTACTTTTTCATCCTCTGTTGCCGTTGAGAGTTGAGGGGAAATACAGGTTTCTATGGTAGATCAACACATCAAATGAGATGTTGTTGTTTCTTAGGGTTCTCTGGACTCCCTCAATCCATCTTTAATTAGCGTGGCCTACTTTTTCCTTTTTAACCTGCGAACTTGGTGTTTTAGGCACTCAAGGTTGGCTAGATGACATTGGTAACAGGTGGCTAAACCATTTTATTATTACTCTTTGTTTGTTTGTTTGTTGTTATTTTAACTGCCGGAAGCGCCTTCAGTCAATAGGTTGCTCTTAAACGTTTATTTCTCTGCCAGTCTCTCATTGCGATGTTTAGGGTTTTGCTGAGACATTTCAACTCCAGTGCAGTAATTTTGCTTTCACGGGTGCTCTATAAACCCAGAACAAAGTGCCAGTGGTGACCCAGTTTCGGAGAATACAATCCGTAATGAAAAAGTTAAAATGAGAACACTGTAAAATAAGAAGCGACATAATAGTATACAAATAAAACATGATTAGCCTATTTTTCTTTTCTTTTTTTCGGGGGAAAAAAGGGGGGGGGTAGCTTTTAAATACTAAAATGTGGCAAAATCTTCTATGCCAAAAGTGGTGTTCATGGCTCTAGCAGAAGCCACAAATCGTTTTCTTTTATTCATCTTGCAAATACGGGGACAGTTGGTGTGAGTGCATGAAAGTAGGGTTCTTCTTCTTTCCTCCTCTCATTCCTGCTCACTCTAGTAACGCAACCAGAATTATTTTTAAAAAGTGAGTGTGTGTGTATGTGTGTGTGCATGTGTGTGTGTGTGTGTGTGTGTGTGTGTGTGTGT